ACTACTGCGACTGCGGGGACCGGACTGCACTTTACGGCCAGAACATGGTCGCGCGCCACGCCACGCCACGCACACGCACTCGCGACAAGAAGCTGCAGGGGGGAGCAGCAAAGTAGAGGAGAGCCCCCTTGAAATCCGAAATGCAAAACGAGAGCACAAGAACACAAAGGCGACGACTCTGACTTTTGTTTTACTAATTTTGTGGATGGGGGTGGGGACGCTGGTTAATGCACTACACACTTGCAGCAAAAAAAATTCGTTTCGCGAGCAACAAATGGCTTTAAAACACGCGCGACGCACGTCGTCGTTCAAAATTTTCGAAAAAAGTTTTGTTTACTGTGTCCAGTGTGACCGCGGCTTTATCGTTGACATATACCGCCCGGCCCCCAGAAATATTATAAAATATACCGTCTCATTTTAAAAATATACCGTAAATATACTGACGAGTTAAATTCTATTATACATATTCCTCGATTTTGATATTCCTTGGAATATTACTAGCTATATCGATCTAGTAGTCCTCCCCACATAGTTTTGTCCAATAAATGAACATATTTTCTAATTGACTGGTTTATTTTAAACACTTGCTTTTATTGCATTTTGCGTAAAAAAAGGTTATAGCGAAAATGGTCAAACAAAAAAACGAAAGAGGATAGTCGTTCCTATTGTTCAATTTTGGTATTCCGTCGAATATTACTAGCTATATAGAACATTTAGCCATGCCCACATAATTTTATCCGATTAATGAATCAATTTTCTACTTTCTACTGACTACTACTACTTTCTACTACTACTAATTAATCCTTTTTATGGTATTGTGTTTAAAAAAAGGTTTCAGCGAAAAAGTGTGCAAGTCCCAACGTCTGGCCTTCGAAACTATCCTCTTGCAGTATGCGCCCTCTGGCGGAGGTAGGCGAACCTTACACCATTTTTCCATACAGTTTAGCTATTGTCAAGTGACAGACGAATGACAATTTAAATGTGGCAGCGAGCCTTTGTCAGATATCCACTTCTTGTGGTGGGATTTTTCATCGGAACAATTATCTTTGTGACAATGAGACTTATTCTAGACTCATCAATCTGCATACCCTGGGAAAATGAATATTATAGAATTGAGATAATGTTTGTCATCCCAGGCTCCAGAGCAAAAACAAAAGCTATTACTATTATTTTCACGGAATATCAAAATCAAGGAATATGTATAATAGAACTTGAACTTTTATGTATATTTACGGTATATTTTTAAAATGAGACTGTATATTTTGGTATATCTTCGAGGGTAGACCAACCAGCTGTTTTGGCGGCAACGACTTTGTTTTGTGCAAAAAAAAAAAAACCATGTTGTTTGAGTAAAAACGCAGGAACACCCAAATATTACCAATGATGCAGGAGGGCGCCATGTACGAGGCGCTCAGGAAGCACTTTGGGCACTCTAAGTTCAAGTCGGAGCTGCAGGAGAAGGCCATCAAGTGTGCCGTGAAAAGTGAGTAGCAGAGAATTAATCCGATCCGAGGACTGCATCGTTAATTCGGCCATAATCCCTAAATAGAGAAGCAGGATGTGTATGTATCGATGCCCACGGGTTCGGGAAAGTCCCTGTGCTTCCAGTTGCCCGGACTCATGTGCGAGAACCAGCTAACGATTGTGTTCTCGCCTCTATTGGCCCTTATCAAGGATCAGATCGATCACCTGACAAAGCTGAAAGTGCCCGCCGATTCCCTCAACTCCAAGATGACCCTCAAGGAGAGGGACAGAGTCATCATGGATCTTCGTGCAGTCAAGACCAACCTCAAGTTCCTCTACATCACCCCCGAGCAGGCGGCCACCAAGTTCTTTCAGGAACTGCTGCAAACCCTCCACAAGCACAAGAAGCTGGCCTACTTTGCCGTAGACGAGGCGCACTGTGTCAGCCAGTGGGGCCACGACTTCCGACCCGACTACCTCAAGCTGGGCGAGCTGCGGTCCAAGTACCCGGAAATCGTCTGGCTGGCCCTCACGGCCACCGCCTCCAGGGAGGTACGCGAGGATATATACAAGCAGCTGCGGCTGCACCAGCCCGTGGCCCAATTCAGCACACCCAGCTTTCGGAAGAATCTCTTCTACGACATCGTCTACAAGAACTCCATCGAGGACGACTTCCAGCACCTGGCCGACTTTGCCCAGCACTGTCTGGGCGATGCCAAGGAGTTCAAAGCCATGCCCAAGCCACAGCGCGGGTGCGGCATCATCTACTGTCGCACCCGAGAGAATGTGGAGCGTGTGGCTGTGGGTGTGTCCAAGCGGGGCATCGGCGCCGTGGCTTATCATGCTGGCCTGAAGACCGCTGAGCGTACGGGCGTGCAGGAGGCGTGGATGCGGGGCGACCAGCCTATCATCTGCGCCACCAACAGCTTTGGCATGGGCGTGGACAAGGCCAGTGTTCGTTTCGTGATCCATTGGGATGTTCCGCAGAATGTGGCCGCCTACTACCAGGAGTCTGGGCGAGCTGGACGTGATGGTCTGCAGTCGTATTGCCGGCTCTACTATGGCCGGGAGGATGTGCGCAGCATTCGATTTCTACTCCAAAACGATATCCATCGAGCTCGTGGTCGAGGCGACAAGGAACTGCTCACGGAAAGGGCCCTGAAACAGTTCGAGAAGATCTCGGAATTCTGCGAGCACACGAGCTGCAGGCACAAACTGTTTGCCGACTTCTTTGGGGATCCTGCACCGCCCTGCAACGGACAGTGTGATGTCTGCAAGCGGCCGAAGAACGCGGAGAAGGCCCTGGAGATGTTCCACCGCCTATGCATGGATGACGCCTTCAAGTCGCACATATCCCTGCAGGACTGCGCGGATCTATATGAAGGTGAGCTGGCCATTTCCCGAGCAACTTTTCCTAATTTGTCTCCCCCTGTCCTTGGCCAGGTGGCCGAGCGGGTGTCAAGCGTGCAGCCCAGGAGTATGCCGCCGGTGAGTCCGGCTCTGATGACGATTCCGGCCAGAGCCACTCGTCAATGGCGAAGCGGGCCAAGAAGGAAGCCGCGGACTTCATTCAGCAGCAGTTCAAGCTGCGCAAACAAATAAGCGCCGCCCGCCAGCTGGAACAGGAAAAGTCTACCCAAATTTCTCGCGTGCATCACGCCGAGGCCACGGAGAAGAAGATCGCTGGCCTCCAGCACACCCAAAGGGAGCAGTATCTCACGGCCATCATCGAGGCCCTCAAGGCGAATGTGCAGAAGTGTCAGGAGGACGAGGAACAGCAGCCCCGCAGCGCCCTTCGGTACAACGACTATGAGGCCATAGCCGTGGAGATGGAGTACGAGGTGTTCCGGCAGCAGAGGGTGGCGAACATGTATCGGCATGCTTTGGTTAAGCAGGTTGGCGTCCATGTCTTACTATTCCAATGGGAACTCCATAATATCTGTTTATTCACCCACAGATATCCGTCATTAAGCAGCTGACAGGGAAGACCAAACTGATGCCCCTGCTGGCCGACTACGTGCCGAAGCCTCAGACTAGTGCAAAGGGTGCCTGGACGGGCGGCAGCGTGGCCTACTTTGAGCGGAAACTGAAAGAGCTGGAGGAGCAAAAGCCGCAGAGCCTCAAGGAAACCCCCAAAGCTCTGAAGGAGAGGAAAGGCTTCAAGCAGGAGAACAGAACGCAGACCTCCATTGCAAGCTACTTCAAGAAGGAGGTAAAGGAGGAACCACTTGCAGAGGAGGAAGGTGCAGAGGATCCACTGCAGAAGCCTCTCACTGTAAAACAAGAACCAGGTACGGAAGAAGAAAAAGAGAAGAGTTCAGACGACAGTTCAGAGGAAACAGTGGGTCAGGATCAGGATCAGGATCAAGAGAGCCCCGCCGAGTCTGGTGTTGAACCAAAAAGCATCGTTGCCGATAGAGAGCTTAAACTGATGGCCAATGGGGATGGCACCTTCGATACCCATCGCAAAAAACGCGTCTCCCATCAGCAGGTAAAAGAGAGAAAGCCACCCAATCCCGGTCCCACGTCTCTGTCTCTGTTTGCTTCGAAGAATGAAAGGGAACAAGCTTTGACTGCCTTCAAGACGGCTCGCCAAATTCTCGAAGAGAAGCTGGAGAAATTGGAAAGCAAAAATGATGTTCTCGGCTTTACGACAGCCAAACAACTGCATGAGAAAACACGTCAAAAAGAAGCAAAGGAAATTACATCGAAGAGTAGGGGGAGGAAAGAGATGCCGACATCAGAGGGAAAAGACAAGATGGAATCCGAAGCAGAAATAAAAGTGGAAAAGAATTGCACAAGCGAAAGCCAAGAACAAAATAAAGAGCCAGAAACTAGGAAAAAGGAGTCAAAGGAAGTCACATCCCAGCGAAGAGGGACAAAGGAGATAACCTCCGCGAGGGGAGACAAGGAGAGAGAGGAGTCGACTCAACCAGAGAGAAAAGACGGAGACCATAAGCCGACGGTGAAGGTGAAGCAGCAGAAGAACGATGTCAGCAAGAATGTTGTGAACTGGCTCAACCCTTACTACAAGCGCAAAATAGCCACCAAGGAGCTGTTCAAAGCCCTGGCCAAACTCATCACTAGCCGCATCTGCGATGGCAGTTTAGGTGAGATCTCAATCTTCATAGACACCTCCACAAACAAACTATAATAAAGCATTTACTTGTTCTTCCCCAGGTGATGGAGATGCCTGCAAATGCTACATCAAAGAGACCTTTCATGGCCTGGAGATGATCAGCAACGATCAGGACATTGAGAAATACTTCACCGAGTCCAAATGACTTCCCATTTCGGGAACCAAATGAACTAATCGCATCGGAAAGATTGCCATAAATCAAGCTTGCTAAGAACCGGAGTTAAAAAACCATTTTTTTTTTTTTTTGTGTCGTTAATGTTTCAAGTTGTATGTATATAACAATTAATTTGATCAGTAAAATATTAAGAGGAGTGAGATATTTTCATTTTAAAATTGCACTGCGCAGATCTTCTATATGCTGTCTGCAATCTCCAGATAGAATTTCAAAAATTGTAACTACAGTTTGTTGGAACAAATATTCCCTCATAAAAAAATTTATTTGTGTGGGCTCTTATATGTTAAGTGGATTAGAGAAAAACGTTGGTGAAGGCTTACAAAAAAAAAAAAAAAAAAAACAGGCTGCAGGCGATGCTTAAACAATCTTTCCACTTCCTTGGACTTCTTTTTGTACATTTTCTTTTCGATGATGGCAATTCTTCTGATGTTTTGTTTTCTGTTTACAGATTTCGTGGGTTACAATTTGCTGGGAAGCAGGTCATGTGATGGGGCTTACGACTATGATGGAGCTCTAAATATAACAGTCCACGCAAGGCGTCGCTGTCTCTGTCCCTGTCATTCCAGATCGCCATGGACGCCGAAGCGGATGGTGAGCAGTATGTCGAGTAGATAGACCAGGGAAGTGACCAGAGCAATGGAGGCGGAGGCCATCACCAGGTCCAGACGATGCATGTTCGGGTGCCAGTAGTTGCGATCCTTGGTGGTCGACCAGTCCCGGAAGAGTAGAGCCGTCACGGCCACATACAGACAGAATGCCACCAGAGACCACAACGTTGCCGTGCGCCAGGGTGTCCTAGACATGAAGATAGTTATAGTACTTGCGTGCTTTACGGCAATCCTTAATCACTCACAGATCACCGACCAGAGCCATGATCAGGTAGATCGCCGTGTAGATGGTCAGGGCTCCAAAGGTCACATAGCAGAGGGCAATCACACGGGGCGTGATGAACACTCGCAGGTGGGAGTTGGTGGCCGGCTCGTCGATCAGACCAAGGCAGCATATTAACAGGCACTGTGAGAATATTCAACTCGTAGTTAGTGTTCACAAATAGTACTAGTAATTTATATTTTCAAAATGGGAATCCATTCATTTTAGCGCACTCTTAAATTGTATTAAAATTGGCTTTTAATGGCTGTTAATCGAGAGAGGTACATACTCGTATGTTTCACTTACCAGCTCCACCACTTTGATGCATATGAGAGTGTAGGTGGCCTTTTTGTTGCCACTCGTGGTGGCAAAGGAGTTATCATCCGCCGGCGACATTTCCACGCGTGAGATTTCTACAGGCAGTAAATCAATTAATTAATGAAAGAAGATTTAATTAAGTAAATGAAAATTGAAGTTTTTCACATCTAAAATTTGCTCAGTTCAGAGAAACACTTGGATACAGTACTCGAACGGCGGATATACTGGCATGTTTATGTACCTATCGATCGTAAGTAACTCATTTCTCGATCTCGTTTTGAACGTTCGCGACCTATAGAGGAAACGGGCTCTTCAGTTCGTTTTATGTTTTATTTTAATGGGGTTTTGTGACCATACTTGGCGCCCGTCTTTGGGTTACTTGTTATTGGATTCTAAGTATTGGGGTGGATGCTCGGTGGAGCGTGCAAAACGGTAAACGGAATCTAGTGCCGTTCGTGAATTTGTGTCAATTGATGGTCGAAGGTCTCCCTCCCACATGAAACTCATCCGCATCCACATCCACATCCATATCCACATCGGAATGAGTTGGAGCCCAAATTGATTAAGGGCAGATAGATACAGATAGACGGATGGATGGATTCCTCAATGATGTCATCTGTTTGGGTGTGTGTGGGATTTTGGGTGGGGTTTGATTTTGATATGCCTCTGGGGTGCTCAGATGCATACCAAATGTCGAGCTAAGATCGCGAGCAACCTACGTGAGGTTCGCGTGAAAAGCTTATAAATATTTAAAGATAGCTATAGCTGGGTCGTTCTCTTGTGACACTCAATCTATAATTCCATTACATAACTAATTAATTAATGACCAACAAGGGAACCACAACAAGGCACACGATTGTCACCATCATTGAACACCTTTCCTATTCCATATGCTTTGATATACATATGCACATATGTACATATGTATAGCCCCGCCTGGCGGGATTTGTCGAAACATGTTCAGAGCCAACAACTGGCTCTCTCCATGGTTCAGCCGTCAGTGCGTACCCCCATTGATTGGAGCTAATTGCATCACAAAAAGAACAAAACACAAAATTCCAAAAAGAGCTAAAGGCACGTACGCGCGGGGGGATGGATTGGAGAGGGGATAGGGGTATGTTGTGCTAGTTAACCCCGCGATGTGTAACCCCATAAACAACAATTAAACTTCAGGCGCGGAAGGGGCAGGAAGCCCACACAAATGAACTCCAACTAAAACTGAATCTTGTGAAGGGTCGCGTCACTCATAACTTTCTCGGCGAATGGGGGAGGTTCTCGAGATACCAAACATTTCAGTGTCTAGGCTCTGCTTGAAAGATAGGTGGGTAAGATATAGGCACTATGGCTACATTATTTAATATACCTGATTCAAAAAGTGTGTTGAATTAGCCTCCACAGTGAGGGCCAAGAAAAGGTAATTGGTAAGGGGGTTAGTCTCGTTACTGGTGAAACTCTAGTCTTTATATATTTACGGTATAACTAAACACTTAAAAATGGGCATGCATATGCCCATAACACGAGTAGCTCTAAAGCAAATTCCCAGCCAACAACTCGAATGATTACTTCCAACAAATGTTTGGTCCTCGACCGACTCTCTAGCGGTGGAATGCCTCCAGGTAACTGTTTTGCGTGCTCTGCGTTGGCAACGAATGTTCCGCGTTCTTGGCCCCTCACGAAAAACAAAAAAAAACAAGTTTCGTTAGACGAAGAAAGCCCGAAAAGATGAAGCCAAACAAAACACGCAACAAGCCACGAAGCAGCGGAGGGAGGAAAAAATGTAAACAAAACGGCCAAGCCCAACTGGTTTCAAGAGAGAGAGAGAGAGAGAGAGAGAGAGAGAGAGAGAAGTGCGAAGAGAGAACTTGGCTAAGAGACGGTAAAGTCGTGAAGAGATATAGCCACACCTGTATTGCGCCTGCGTGCCCTCGGAAAGAGCACCACATTTGGGCCTGCAGTGTGAATTAACCTCGTTTCGCTTTCAGGCCAGGCTCTGCAGGGACTTTCTCAAAGTTCTCTGCTGTTGGCCAGGCAGCCCTATAACTGGTCTGTCTTTGGGTCAATGACTTCTTCGACTTCTTCATTCTTCGTTTTGTTTTGGTTCTGTCGTTTCTTCAGTCGCATGCAACGAGGAGACTACGTATTCGGAGCGACTATAAGTTAATTTTGTTTTTAATTAAGCCCCATTTCCAGTTTCCTGCCCACAGTGGAGACTGGCGAGGAGAACACTATCATCTCCAACTTGGGCGATTGAAAAATGCAACACTACGAAACGTGTTTTTCAAAGCCGCCTTCTCCTCATGCGTGGCCTCCCCCTCACTTGCATTGATATGCACAACTGGCAAACTGGTTACGGAACAGAGACAGACAGCCAGAAATGCATATATGTGCATAGTATGCATGCATGTATGCATGCATTTACGTGTGTATGTGTGTACATGTCTGCTTGGAGAAGGCGCCTACTGTACTTGCGAGCGCCGTAGGAGAGACTCCGACTCCCCCTAGCGAAGGAAATTGCGATTTTCTTTGCATTTTTGCATTTGTTTTCCATTTTCTTGTCGTAGTTTTGTTGACCTCATTCAGACCCACACCCCCCAGTGTAGAGGGTACTGTTTCAGACTCTAACATGCAACTTTTGAGGGATTGGGCTTTGGGGTAGTTGATGTTAGGGGTTGCCTAGCAGCCCGAACGGGGGTTGTTGGCGAATTCAATGCCAAAGCTATTGGGTAAGGCTTGTAGGGATTTCCAGGTGCTGTGTTCAGGGCTGTATCTGTGACGTGTCTGCCCGTGAAGGTCAGTGTCCAATAGGTCTATTGATACATCAGCGAAATATTTCGGGTTCAATAGGCTCCCAAGGGGTGGGTGGGAGAGTTATAATTGAGTGTGAATTAGGGCACCCTTTTATTTTACTCAAAGAGTTTGGATATACATATCTATTATTATTGGTTGCGATTTAAATAATCAAATTTCGAAAAAGTCATAGAATTCTCCTCTTTATATTCTAGTCAGAGTCTGATTTTGCTAGTCAGCCCTACATTGAGAAGAGTCTGATTGAATAGAAACCAATATAAATAAGCTCAAAATCTCCGTACCGAATAAATGTAAATTCAAAAATGGTTTGAGATTTCTGAAATTTTAAAAAAAAAAAATAACAAAATTTAAACAAAAACCACAATAATTAACAACAATTTGGCTTCTTTTTGAAGCGTAGTAGTTTAATCTATTGAGCACGACCATTCGTCAACAAACAAACAAATCATCCGAAGGGAGGGGCTGAGGCTGGGACTGGGACTGGGACTGAGACAACCAACCGTGAGAACAGTGGGTGAGTCACAATTAACAGAAAATCTAATTCATGTTAGCCAGTGCTGCCTATTGCCAGTGTACATATGTTTGAAGTGTATATTGTGCAAAATTAGCATGTCTAACAATAACAGCAGAGAAGATCGCATTCTTGTGGCTGTACCCATGGTTGTGTTGTTTACTGTACAATTAGCTCTGGGTGGGGCTCAGCGATCCAGCCAGCATGCAGCACAGACTCCGAACAGCGACTCTCAGAAATCTTTGGAGGGGAGAGCCAGAGACTGACACAGAAGCTGAAACTTCAGTTTATAGTTATTGTTTTTTTTGTTGGTTAATGCATTTCCAAACAGTTTCAATATTAGTTATTGTTGGGCAAATGAAAAACTGGTTTTTTGTTGTGTTTTTTTGGGTTACGTTAATACATTGGGTTATTACATTTTTCAAAATATCGTTGCGCTTGCGAGAGGTGCAGAACTCTGGTTAGCTTGGGGTTATTTCTCACTCTAATTACACAGAAACACACACAGATTAAACTATTTTCAAAACGCGCCCAATCAAATGTATGGTTCAATCGGAAATGTAGTTTTCGAACACTCAGCAAATCGACCGCCAGCGTCAACGTCAAAACTCGGTTTGCGCCAGAAAAGTAGAGTCGAAACCCAAACACCACGACGTTGTACGTTACAAAGCCCCCGCCCAAACGGGCCCCAAGTTGGCTCTCATGGCCATATGACATTAGACTTTGGTAACTGACTAGCTGCAAGAGATAGCCTTATGGGAAAAGCATGCAGTGAGAGCGAGAAATATACGTACTTGCGACAGTTTGGTTCAATTTTGAACTAAAAAAAACCGAAAAGTATTAAAAGTACCAGAAACGGTTACCCTGCACCAAAGTCTAGTGTCATAACACCATGGACAGGAATGATATTTTCAAGCAGTCGATAAGCAGTAAGTATTCACTAACGCTTGCACAAAAAAATACTGAAATCGGCTTCATTCTTTAAGCCGAAATGTAAAATATTATGTTACATGGCGCCAGCGTATGCATGAAGGTATAATTTCAAACTCTGGAAAGATATTTATTATACGAGCTTCTTATTCGCTTGTTAATACCAAATTTTGATAGGTTTTTCTGCTCGTCTACAAAGATATATAAGTAAAACCTAGTAAGAACTAAAATAAATTTAAGACCGATCCTACCACACCCACCCCAAGCGTGCATATAAAGTGCAATAATTAGTAATTGTCTTTGACGTTTTAACGTTATACCCGATACTCAAAGAGTATTGAGGTGCGGCACTTGACGCGGCTTACAAAGTTCCCGCTCGTTGTGACTCTACAATGCTGCCAATTTTATCTACACATTTGCAGCTTTTTTTCAAAGAGGAACAGCTTATACAATTCGGAAAAGTTTTAGCCATGAGTAAAAAGTATTTGCCGAGTTTCGCAGCTCGATATTAGTCATCAAATCCCTAAATCATAGACTAACGTAAATCATCATTTTTGTTCACTATTTGCACTCACTACTGTACATAAATATTTTTCACCGCAAAACTTAAGCACGGCAGCGGCCGCTCTTTCGGTTCTTTATCCCGCCTGCTTCGTTTCTGTTACAGTTACAGCATCGAAGCTGTTCTCTCGCGCTCTATCCACGTGATCGGCTTAGCAGCAGCCCGCAACGCGCTCTCTTTTTGGGGATTATTGTGCTCAGCAAAACATCAAACTTGGTTCCTCTCGCTCTCACCTAGCATGGCGTCAAAGCGCTGCAGCGCGCTGTCATAAGTGCTGAGCGTAAATACAGACACGAAATAGAGGGAGTTACGTTCTCGCTCGCCCTCTGCTAAGAGCCAAGAGCCGTCCGGCCCGTCAGCCCTTGCATCAATAACATTCTTCCATCGGTCCAGCACATGTCGGTCCTACTTTCGCTGTTGTATAAGAATAAATTGTACATGTTATAATGAATTACATAAACGAAATTATTTTAAAACCTAT